CAAAGCCAAGTCTCTGCTGTGGAATAAACTCAAATTCAACAAGCAAATTTTTAGGCGTTTGTTGAAGATCCAGAAAATATGAACATGCAGTTAAGGATCTTCATCTTTGCAACCAGTCATTTGCCATCATTTTCCTCCTCTCTACTTACATGTTTTAGTAGAACTGCATGATTTTATGTCTTACACAATATAGACTGGATAATCACCAAATGTTCCATATGTTGTGGGTCATTCCCACAGCTGTTGATGCTTAAACTCTTGTTTCCTCTTTCCACATGAGCAGGCATCCTACCAAGTTTTGATGCACATAATAGACTGGGCAGAGAAAAAGGATTCCTTTTAAATAATAAAAAAGGAAAGAAGAAAAAAAAAAGAGAGAGAGTGGGATGTTTTGAACTACCAGAGCAAAACATTTTAATTGAGCTGACACATAAATCAGTCCAAAAATTATCAAAATCTCTCACGAGAAGGCAAAATTTACCCAGCTGTGAATTTGAGGGCTGGATGCTGAGGGCAGCCTGGAATCTGGAGCAGAGACAAGGAGTGATACAAAGAGCTGTAGGAGAAGAGGGGTTATTTACATGAGACAGGACAAGCAGAGCATCCCTGACACTCTGATTCACAAGGAAACCATCGCAGGGCTGTTAGTGAGTGATTGACACCGCGGGTCCCGAGGTGCAGAATTCCTGAGGCTCCCACAGCCTCACGCTTGGGGGAAGGTAATGAGAGCATTTTGTGAGCAAAGTAGGTCACGGCTCAGCAGGAGAGGCACGTTGTCACGTCAGACCACGAAGATGCAGAGCTTCCAAGAGGGTTTCTTTTTTTTTTTTTCCTGCAGTTATTTTGTTTAGACAGGGATAATCTGCATTTTAAGGCAAACAAGATCGTGGTAACTTATGGGTCACCTCATTGTTCCTGCAAGGGCTCAGTGGAAGGGGGAAGTGATTGCACCGCCTCGCTACAAAAGATGGGGATTTGAGTGAGCTCAATTGTCTGAACAATGCTCTGCCGATGAGTGAGAAAAATTGTATCGGGGAACAAAGGATGAGTCACGGAGAATTACTCAATAAGAAACAGCGAGTCAACTTTCAGAGGACTGGGGAATGTGGATGTCTCCCGAAGTTAGGCTTCGCTGCAGCGTCAGTCAGGATGGAAACGAGACATCAGCAACGAAAACACCCTGTCGGCTCACGGGGGGAAAACTTCAGGTGACAAAAACCAACCCAAAACTCAGCCATGTCGTGTTTCTGATGGCTCATGTAAACTCTGCACAGTGAGCCCAGAAATCATGCCAAGAAGCCTGAGGAGCTGAGGTGTTTTGCCCGTTATCCCACCAGGAACAAGAGACTAATGACAGGAATGATTGAGGCTGGATTTTGACACTTGAGCATACATAGAGTAGGTGTAGGGAAGATTACAGTTATGCACACAGATGGGAGAAGTAGATCACTGGAGAACAGAAGTGTGACAGTATTCAGACAGATAAAGTAATTTATTTTATAGGAAACTATTACACAGTTGAGAACTGTGGGGCGCTTTTTTTTCCCCCATCAGAGTGAAAAGGAGAGAATATCTGATTTTATTCCACATGATCCACAAGATGTATCATGTGCTCCTGATGGGGTTAGAGACATGAAATGGTTTAGGGAGTGGGTGAACATTTGGATTTCTACCTGATTGACAACGTGCAAGTCAGGGAATTGGCTCAGCATCAATGAGGATCTCATTAATTTTGGCATTAAAGACTGTCAACACTGCAGGAAGAAAGTCATGTAACAGATTCAGAATCAAGACATTGCCCTATATTTAAAGATTCAGCATTCAAATTAATAGAAATTTTTTAATTCCCTATCCCACACTTTCCCTTGTAGATGCTGGAACAAATTCTGGGTGTGTGGGGGGTTTTCTGCCAGCGTTTCTCAGTGTCCATTTAATGCAGTGACCAAACACACAGAACCCCAAAACGCTGCTGGCAGCCACCCACTGGGACTTACCTGGATCTCAGGGACAACTTCCTCCAAAATCTGGCAAAATAAGGTCTCCTGCTCTGAATGACAGGATTTTGTGTTGCTTTGCAGCAGTGACACCATGCACAGTCCAGAAAATATAAAGCTTCTGTCCTTTGCACCAGGATAAGGGGTGCACAAATCAGGATTTCCAACACCAGAGTGGTTTGTATTCCACATGCTGAGGCCAAATCCTCCCTTACAGCCAACCCAGGAGTTTCACGGAAATTAAAAGTCCAAATCTGAAATTCTACTCAAAAAAAAGGATGGAAGGAAATAAATATTTAAAGAGGAGAAGCAATTTGAGGCAGCTCAAAATTATTTCAGAAATTAATTGACTTTGAAGTAATCAGCAATGCCATTTAGGCACCAGGTAGGGAATTATTTATTTTATAAAGTAAGAGCTCTAAGGGATGTTGAAAGTGGAGGGCAGAGTACTTGTATAAAACATATGGGTTTTCCTGCTAATTTTCCATAACATTATCTCTAAGACACATAGTACAAAGGCATCAGAGCCTTTCAAAGCCTTTTGTGAATTCTTCCTCTACACATTAGAGACAGAGGCATTAAGAGTTGAGTAAATCATCCAAAGAAATGCATGTGCCTAAATTCTCTTTGTTTCAGTAGCCTCCATGTTTTCTGAGGATCCAAGTCCAGAGACACCAGATGGCTGCTTTTCTCAGATATTTAGGCACCTACACATGCAAAGAGGTGCCCAGCAGTATTTTCAAGCATGTCCAAACACTTCATTCTCTAAATAACCATTAAGAAATATTGATGGAAAATTTCATCCTATGATTTTTCTTTTTTTTCTAAAATATCGAAGGTAAAAAAATGCTTCAGTAACTGAAGAGATGAGCCCTTTCTAGGCTCCAGAGTGGGGACCCCACAGATCTGGGATATTGGAGCCAAATGCAGCACAAGACAGTGAAAAGGGCTGGCAGCAGGTCTAGGAATAACCTGGCACTGGAGGAGTTAAAATCTGCAGTTGAAGCGAGATAAAAACTCCAGCCAAATTTAGTTGTATTGCAACCACGTGGTTAAATGTCTCTGGCATTCCCTCCTTTCCAGGGCTTCCCAAAACTGGATGGGGACACAAAAATACACTTGAAAAGGGTGATTTTAGCACACTCAGCTGAAATTTTACCCTGTAAAAATTCAGCAAAGAGCCCTGAACCACAAGAAGAGAAGATGGAGGCAGCTCAGAGAGGAGGAGAGAAGTTTAAAGGCTGAACAAAAATACCAAATTTATCCCCCTCTTTCTATGAACATGGATCTTGTGTAACTGGATGCCAGCAGAACTCTCTGTCAAACCAAACAGCCTGTGCTGGGTTCTATTGAGGAGGAATAGGGTGTTACTTCAGTTCATAAGAAGAATATATGATAGGGTTTTATCCCAGAGATACATTTTTAGGTTCCTGACACTTCAGCAAATTAGTTTACAGCAAAACACAGAGGAAGATTGTCTTGGGGAACAATTAGGGAGTTTTAAAATGCAACAAAAAGATACAGGGAAAAATCTCTTTGCTATAATTGATAGCCTTGTCTCAAAGGGAATTAACAGAATTTTATGACTTTGATCTTCTGAAGAATGAGTTTCTTAACTTCATTAGTCATTTTGCTTTAGTTTCAATGCAGATTCCACCAGAGAGAAAGCCCCAGCCTGTTAAAAGGGGCAATCCTCCCATATTTGTCACACTTGCCCTACTGAAATTCCATTCAAAAGTTCAGTTTAAAGGGATTTTGTGGCAGAAAATCCATTATAATTAATGAGCATTCATAATTAATGGCTGGCCTGATATAACCTTTGAGAAGGATCACAGCCTTTTTCTTTATGATCTTAATGCAACAATTTCACTTAATGATCACCACCTTTCTACTTAAAAACTTAGCAATGGATTAAGTGATAGCAGAAATTAGATAATTCCACTATTAACCAAAGTTTAAAGCTCTTTGCTGTTCTCAGAACTGTTCTGATCGTAAAGCATGAATTTTAATAACAATACTGTACTGTACTCCTCAGCAGCATAGGTTGGGAACTAATTAAAATACAGCAGGGATGTATTTGCCTCCATCTGGGCAAGGAACACGACTGAGTAACAACATCTTCTTCCATTATCTCAAAAGAACCATCATTAGCTAACCCGGCTTTCCTCTGCAAAGTTAAAAGTCAGCCGAAGTTTTACTTTGCTAAGGGGGCAAAGGAGTTGCAAATATTTCTATTCTCTTTCTATTTCACGCATTTTGCCTTTTATGAGCACTGGTACAGATGTAAAAAATATGATGTTGTTTCTCTAGCTGGTACTGGGTTTTCCAAGTTTTTTTCCATGAAGTCGTGGCAACGAAATTAAAACCGATTTGTTTGCTCCATGGAAGAGCAGCTCCACGAGCAACAAGATTTTAGGTTATTAAAATTACCTTTGTCACGTGCTGATGGATTTTCATCCCAGGTAGATTCAACAAGCACAAGCCTCAGACCACCTTTGCCAAGGGCATTTTGCAGCTTCCCTGGGGGTGCCCGGTGAGAATCCATGGCCACGTGCTCACGGACGAGCCAAAACCCTATGATGGAGCGCTTCTCCAAGGCTTCCCAGAGCAAGGGCTGCTCCAGGAGGCTGCACTCCCATCCCATGTGACAACTGTGGGAGGACACCTTGCCTTGATTAACACTAATTACAATTATCTCTCAGGCAGTGAGAGCCAAGGACACGGAGCTGGCGGAGCTACTGAAGAGGATGAAGGAGACTCTCAAGGTTAAGCTTTGCCAGCCAAGGAGATGAGGAAGAGTGGATTCCCCTCTGGCAGACATTCCAGCCAGGCTTGCCACCCATGGATCTCTTTTCCCATCTCTCCCTGGACTTTCTCCCTTCTTCTGGTTTTCCACAAAGGTCTGACCAGCAACCAACCTCCTACAGAAACAAGGAGAGGGTGCTCCTGGTTTTGTGGGGAGAAGACTCAGAAATCTGGATCACCAGAAAAATGGACTGATTTCACCTGGTTCAAGGCTGGGTCTGCTCCAGGCAGGGATGTTGTGTTGTCACTTATGTAATTAAATGGATCCAAAATATAGAGTGCTGATAATATATATCAAATTCTTCTCCAGGATTCAGACTCCGCCACAGAACAAGGAATAACCAGACAAAAATCCGATGTACAGGTCTAGGAGCCTTTTTCCTCCATTTTTGGGTGAATATCTTCGGTGAACAGTGAAAATCTTTCAGATGAGCTCTGCTGTAAGAACAGAAACAGCAACTTTATCCTATCCTTGTGCACCTGCAGGTGATTTTGGAGAGCAGAAAAACAGGATGATGTTGCTTTTCTCAACTGAGGATTTAATTAAAAAAAAAAAAAAAAACAAATTCTTTTGTTCTGCCATCTTACAGATGTCTTACTTCAGTTAATGAGAAAACCAAGAGTTCAGCTGATGGAAACTTTGGCTTTGCTGAGGACTGACCATCCCCTGCTGTGGGCAGATCACCTGCTTCCAGAGATGCTCTGTGTGTTTTAGAGAAGGTTTTTACCTTAACACACAAAAGACCTTTGAGTTAAAAACAAACAGTGTGATTTGTCAAGTCAGACTGTTCTGAATGTCAAATTAGAAATCACAAAACTGCTTTTTCTTTATCAAGCAGCACACAAACAATTAAACTCCCCAGTTCCCTGGCCCTGCTGGGGAACACTATGTTCAATTTTCCTCTAATTTTTGTCACAGTCATAGGTGGAAATATATTTTGATGCAGTAGCCAGTCACTCTGAGAGACTGGCACTTCAATGGATGAAGGTTCAACTGTCCAGAGAGTGTCAATGCCTTATTAAGATTTCAGCTCCATCGCTCCCAAATTTCATCTCCCTCTTCCACCCTGTTTTAGATGGTTCTTTAGTCTTTTTTTTTTTTAATTTTTTAACCACATCAGAGCATCTTGCCACCTCCCCTAATTAATCCTCTGGATCCCTGCAGGGTAAGGAAATATTATCAGATCTGTTTTTCAAACCAAGAAGGAGGTTGCAGGATAAACATCTTGTTGCTCAGAACATGATCAGAGATACCCAGGTCTGCAAAGAGGCAGGAGCACCCCTGGGCTATGAAAGAAATTCCCAAGGGATCACCCTGGTTTAATAACTCACCTTATTGCTTCGTGTTGATTACCCTCAAAACTTACAATTAATGTCAGCCTTGAGAAAAATGAAGCAAAAATCGATAACCAGAGAAGCAAGAGGAATCCCATCTCCCCAGCCTGTCATCTGCTGTCTGACAGACACAGCCACGACTTCCCACCACTGACAGACCATTCCCAGAGTCCAGCAAGGGGGGAGGAAAATTTCTGACACCAGACAGGTGAGTTGGACAAGCAAGAAGCCCTAAATAAAGACAGACTGACAATAAAAGAACCCTGTGAAGCTTCACGAGCAATCCTTGGCTCATCCCAAACACCAGCAAAGTTAAGGTGGGGAGAAGGAGGGCAGTGCCAAAGGGTTCCTACCTGAGAGCTCAACACTTCAAAAGATGACAGGGACCCCCAAGCCCCTTCTGTTCTGAATTCCCTGCAATGAAGCCAATACTGTGGTTAAACATGAAGTTTTACAGCACACCAGTGAAACAGGAAGAGGGCTACACATGCAGGTGGGATGGGTTTTGTGCAGCAGCCTGGAGACAAACTCACTTCATTCCCTTTGAGAAGAGACATGAATAGGAGGCAAATGAAAAGCACAGTTTTTCACAGCCTTCCCAAATCCGCTTCTGAACCCCAGAGAGTCTGTTCAGGACAGACATTGCCTTTTATTCATGTTGCAGGTTGGTAAGGGACTGCTGGCACCTAAAGCAAAAATGTATTCAAGACTGAAACCTCACAGTTAGCTGGAACACTTCATTCTTTCTTTTCTTAATTCAGATTCAACCCCCAACAACTGGGGTTAAACACTGGGAGCACAGACACTGTGAACAGCACACACAGCCTGGTTAATGCACAGACCTGTCCTTGGACACCCCTCCCTGGAGAGCAACAGGCTGGGCCAGAAACAGGGACAGGACTAACAGTCCTGAGCCAACACATCCAGGCAGCCCTCAGAGCACAGAACGTGTCTGTCCAAGAGCTGACACACCCCTGGGGGTGGGTGAAGCTCTTCTCCTGCCACAGAGCCCAGCACAGCGTCCGTGTCCCCTTTTGCTCCCAGCTCAGTTCACAAATCAGGGTTGTGTGACTAGAAATCGGTTTAAGTGTAAAGGAGGTACCAAAGAGAACCACTCTCTACAATTACACCTTTTCCTTTCCCTTCCCAAACACCCTCCTGCTCATGTTCTCCATGTGTGGGTGTGCTGAAGCTGCCTCCCCTGGAGCATCACTGGGTGCCCACCCACACACTCCCGGCTGCATGAAACCATCAGGTTGTGCTTTGTCTTCTGTACACACCAGGAAAGCTGCTGCAAAGGCAAAATGAGAGATTTTGTCAGGACAGAGGGAATCCACATGACTCCGCACAAGGACTTTTCCCTATGGGTGAAGCTCCTCTCCCTGCAAATCCCCTTGGAAGCTGTGTGGAGCTGCCCAGTGCGCTGGAGCAGGGATGGCAGGGCAGGGGGCCTGGGATGCTCCCAAAACCAGCCAGAGTCATTTCCCTACATCCACTTGAGCAGTGGCAAAGCTCACTGGGTTGGCAGGAGGTGTGGGATGCTTGTTCCCCATCCTGCAATGGAACATTCCTCGATGAATCACAGCGTTCCTCACCACTGAGAGAAGAACAAAGGATTTGGACACAGCACTGATCAAACACACACAAGCTCTCTTTTATAGAATCATAGGATGTTTGGGGTTGGAAGGGACCTTAAGACCATCTAGTTCCAATCCCACTGCCTCAGACTTCTCTGGAAACTTCCTCAATGCTCCTGCTTCAGCTGGTGCAAACATGTCCCAAGAAACCTAATGGTAGGAGTTAGTTTTAAACAGCACACGCAAGCTCTTCTGAAACAAAACATTTTCAAGACTTCTCTGCACTTGAGCCAATTTCTTCAGGCATCCTGCCCCACATTTAAGCACCAAAGGCAAGATCCCCACATTAGGTGTCTGGTGTTAAATTTTATGGCCCTGCACTTCAAAATACGGCCCTTAATAACTGAATCTCAGGCACCTGGAAATAAGTATTTTCCTTTGGAGTGATTAAAAAGAGGAAATAACCCCTGTATATTATCTTCATTTTCTTTCCTTTATAAGGTTTTAAGCTGCTTTTATGCGGCACTGGAAAGTTCCAGCCCGTGATTTGTTGCATTCTGGTGTGCTAATAGAAACATCCCCCTGACTGCTGCTCACTCTGCAGAGCAGGAGGATCGTAACACAGATTGTAAATGGTTGCATTACTGAGAAAGATAATGTTTCTTTGCACTTTCATTTCCCTGGGTTGATATTTATCGTGGTGGGGGTTGTGTAAGCGGAGGAGAGAGGGATCATGCATTATTTACCAGCCTGGAATGGGGAAAGGCTCCTGCCTTTCACAGAGTGCAGGAACACAGAGCAACTCCCAGTTCGTGTCAGGTTTGGTGGTGGCTGAAAAATTTTAAGCAAATATGATCGTCCTGCCAGGCCAGAGAGTGACAGCAGATGGGGCTGAGGGTCACAGCTCTGCTCTCCCTCCTTTCTCTGGACAGTTTATGTCATTATTTATTTCACACTATGGCTGGACCAGGACAGCCACTGAATCAACACCACCATCAATAAACTCCTTAAGGTCCAACATAGCTGAGACAAAATTTCCTGGCCTTGAATGCAGCTGAGAGAAGACAAACCCAGGATTGTCCAGGGTTTGCAGAAGCAGAAGCCTTTCCAGCCCCAGGACTGTCCCTGAGATGCCACCCCACCGATCCAGCTTCCCACCACTCCAGGAAGTTGCAACACTCCAAGGTTTATTATCATTAAACTCCAGCCAGTGTCAGAGGCTCTGTGTTTGTCCTCACAGTGCTACTGCCAGTGCACATAAAATCTAACAAAACAAGCCCATTAAATCCCAAAACAAGCCTTGGGAAAGAATTTAAAGAAAACAAGGAACGACAACAACAAAACTACTAAATAAGAAATAAGTTAATGAGGAAAAATTACAAGGAACAGAAGACTTTAAATGTTCTTCCAAATTAAGGAGAACAAAGGGAAAGGATCGGCTCTTATTTTTGCAATTAAGGTGTTATTTATGGCAATTTAGCTGTTTTGAGATTAAGCCTGGATACAGTGCTGCAGAAAACACATCTGATTTACTCCCAAGGCTTCCCATCAGTTTCTATGTGAGTGCCAGCCAGGCAGCCAAAAAACCAGGAGGAGTTCTGTGCTCCCAGAGCTCCCTGGCTGCACACGAGGCGCCTGGAAAACACCCAGAGGATTTATCCCCACGTCGGGCGTCTGGACCAGGACCATCAGCAACAATCCTCAGTTTGCAGTGCTGGCCCTGGAGCTGAACCACTGTATCTTTGGGGCAGAAATCTGGGGCAGAACGAGGGATAACACTTGGGAGGAGCAAAAGGGAACCCTAAAGATTCTGGTTCTGTGAGCAACCTGCCTGTGAGGAGGGGTGGGAAGAGGAGGCTCAGGGGGCACCCCGTGTCTGTAGGCACTGCCCTGGCAGAGCAAACAGACCCTTTGCCTTCTCCCAGCAGCCAGGAAACCATCCCATACCTGTGACTGTGTCACCCACCTGCAGGGACACCTCCAACAGCTCAGGGGAACACTCCCCACAGGCGTGGGAGGGAGGTGAATGGTGCCAAGGAGCCCCTGGCAGAGCCCTTCCTTCTCCACCTCTGCCCAGTTTGACTGCAAGCCATCGAGTGGAGCACCCTGGGACTGCCAAAAAACACACATTTCTGTGCAGGGACAAAACACACCACTGACTATGACATTCATGTGCATCTTCTTTAGTATTTTACCCCCGTTACAGAGTTGGTAACATTTGCAGAGAACCTGCGAATTAAGACCACCCACACTATTTGTAGGATTCAGCCCCAAATGCCTTCTGGTTTCCCTTTTTTCCCTACAGGCTAATAAAAACAATAAAGGAAATAAATAAAAAAGGATGCAAAGTTTGGTTATGCTCAAGAAACAGTTCAGGGAGGAGAGAGCTGAAGATGGGATGGTGCTGGGAAGACACCCAGCCTTGTGGTGCTGCTGCTCATAGACTCTCTTACTTCAAGGAGACATGAAAGCAGACATTGCAACATGACAGTTGCAAACTCTATTAGCTTTTTTACGGCTCTGTTGATTTTTCCAGCCCCCATGGCTGCCTGCCTGGGTATCCTGTTCTTTGAACCCACACAGAGTAAATAAGAGTAACTACTGTGGCTCTGCAGGCAGGAGATGTGTCCCCAGGAGGAGCACTGGGTAAAGGCAGGAAAAACTCCCCCTTCCAACCTAGAAGAATTAGAGCACTTGGGCTGAAAAAAGGGGGGAAAGAGAGACAGAGAGAGAGAGAGAAAGAAAAAATCAGGAAAACCTTCCTTAGAGTAAAATCTTGTGAATTGAAAGGTCCCCAGGACTTGGAGATAAACAGGCAGGTAATGGTTTTCCTGAGGGTGGATGCAGGAGGACGTGAACAGGGATGTGACAGAGATGTGACAGCTTCCAACCACCCCAGCAGAGCTGCTGGAGGCACAAGGGCTTTACCTGGAGCACCTGGAGCTCGGCAGGAGATGAGGAACACACTGGCCAGGGCCTCAGAGGGTGTGGCAGGGATTTGACTTGATTTGATTCAAATCTAACTGACCAGAAGATTTCTCTTCATTCCCCCTCTCTCCCGGCAGAAACTTTTCTTACATTAAGTGAAATGTTAAACCACTGGGGCTGTTGGCTGCAATAGCTCATCCTAAGCAGCTTTAGTGTTTGCTGGGATCAGCCTCCACACTGTGGGGCTGGAGATGGTGTTTCACCCTTTCCTCTGCCCAGTTATTCCTCTTTCCCTCGCTCCTCTTGCCTCCAGCTCCCCTTTTTCAAGTTGCAATGCAGTTAAAATAAAAGTATTAACGGCGCTTATCTGATGCATGGGAGATGTGAGAGGAGCTGGCAAGCAGCCAGCAGTTAATAGCAGCATAAAGCAATTTGCTAAAAAAAAAAAAAAAAAAAGAATTAACATGGTAATTGTCAGGCTGGAGAGGGTGCTGGGGATCGTGGAGAAGGAGGGAAAAAAAAAAAGACATTGATTACTCTAGATTTTAATAATAAAGGTCTGAGGAAGAAAGGAAGGTTTTGAGGCAATTTTCTTCTTTTTGTCCCGTTCTCTGCTACCCTCCCCCAGCTCAAAACCTCCAGCCAGAGCCTCAGGCACTCACGGGAATTTATCCGAAGATCTCTTCCTTTTTAGCATCGTGTCACTGCCAGATGCACCACGGGCTGCGGAGCTGGTCGGCACCACCACGCACTTCTCCCCTTCCCACGGAGGGAAGCGACGCTGCGCTGGAGCTCCTGGAGGGGGGAAAGTCATGTTGGACAGAGCCCTGCACGCTCCCACCTCCGAGCTGGGCTGAGCCGAGGGCACAGAGGAGCTTCCCAAGGAACTGACCCTCTCCCATTCCCAGAGAGGCTTTTTTTGGTGTTTCTTTTTTTTTTCCTGAACAAAGGGACATCGCTCAATTATTATTACTATTTTTAAATTTCTTTTTCTCAGAGCAATTGAAAGGAGCGCCTGGAAAGCTGAAGCAGAAAGCTCAGCCTCTTCCCGCCGGCTCCGGGATTAAGAAAGTCAACTAATGCTTCCCAGCGCCAGGATTTCAGCGGCACGGAGCCTCCCGAGGCAGGAACCGCGACGGCAAATCCAGCAGGATCTCAAGGCGGCAGCTGCCTCTCCCCGCAGATGCCGTTTAACCCTGGATTTATGAGCATCCCGTTCCCGAAAATCAGCTGGAAACCCGTCGTGTCTCCCCTGCACGGACAGTGAGAGCTGCCAGACCCAGCCGGGGCTCCTCTGCTGGAAGAGGCTCTCCCCAGCCCCATGCAGGTGGAGCAGTGGCACGGGGCTCCCAGCACATCCCAGAGGCTCCCAGCACATCCCAGGGGCTCCCAGCACATCCCAGGGGCTCCCAGCAGATTCCCAGAGCTCCCAGCACGTCCCGGCTGACCAGCAGATGAGCCAGTGCCTCTCCCCCCCAAAGGAGGCGTGCTGGGGGAACCAGGGTCAGAACACGAGGTACCTGTACGATTTTTGATTCGTATTTGTGGATGAATGCTGTAAATATGAGCCAAGAAGATTTCAAAGAAAGCCACCGAGGCGTGCAAAGTGAATTAATTTGCTTTTAGACAACATGTGGCCGGTTTGCAGCCTTTTGCAAGCAGGACCATTATTTCTTTCCCATGCCAAAGGCTGACTGCGTTTGCCCTCCTGCTTTACTTCTGCCGTGGAGGAAATTTAAGCAAGAACATGTATAGTGAATTGCTAAATTCAACCAGTGCCACTGAAGCTCATCTAATCATTCAGACCAACACTCCCTACCTGGGCAGCACCCCGAGACCCGTGAGCTCCTCCGCTCTTTACATGTCGACAGCCAGGGCGTTGAAAGAAGGGGAAATAAATAAGCCAGACCTGGTGACTTACATCATTCTGTTTTTCTTTCTGCTCTTGACCGTGACATTCATTGTGCTCTTCATCAACTGCCAGCTGAAAAATTCTTTCTTTGCCACTCTTCCTTACGACAGATCGCTCAGGGAAGCGAGGAGCCCGTGGAGGACACAAGCTGTCTGACACCTCCCAGCCCGGCAGGAGCGGGCACCGCGCTCGCTGTGACTCGCTGTGACACGAGGAGTCAGTGCCATGTGCAGTGAACGGATGTGACCCCCGTCAGAGGAGGACACGGCTGAAAAATAAGCTGTCTGCGAATCCAAGTAGCTGTCAATAAAAAGCTCTGTTATGCAGAGAACGCTTTAGTAAATTTATACGGTTTTGTGCAAAAAAAAAAAAACCAAACCAAAAAAAAAACAACCGCCCAGTGATTCCAGATTAAATTCTATATGTATGCAAATGTCATCATCCACCCATTCAGTGGCCATACAAGGATAATTGTATTAACAACAATCTCTGATTTGGGCATCTGGTGGAGCTTGTTCCCCGTGTTTATGAAACTACAGCGTCAAATGGAACAAACAGAGTGGATTTACCTCCCAGCTCCACGCTGAGGAGACGAGTTTACTTTCCAGACTCATTTCTCCCAACTGCTGCTGGAGCTGCATGGTGATGCCGTGGGAGGCCTGCCAGGCAGGGGGAGAAAATGAAAAACGTTTCTTTAGACTTTTGATTGTCATTCTGTTAAGGGTGTTTTCGATGTCTGAATGCATCATCCACCGGGTTTTAAGTTACCAGTTGTGTGAAACACTTAATACTTAAGGAATTTGTTTTCAGCTCTCATAAGCTACAAAGGAAATTGTTTGCCACGGCATGAAACCAAAATAATCAGGATGGGGAGAAGTGGGGAGGGAAAATGAATATCATTAATACCATGTAAACTAATGAAAGGGGAGAGCAGAGTGCTCTGAGTTCAGCACACGAAGTGGAGAACTTCTGAAAGCCATAAACCACAGCTTTAGAGGGATATTTGCTTTACAGTATCCCCACTCCTTGTTCTTTATATAAATTAGAAGCATGAGTTATCAATATGGCAACAGCTTGATTCAACACCACCATTTTGAAATTATTAAATACCTGATTTTGTTCTAAAAGCTTCTGCTTAACCCTGGCAGCTGCCACGCTGTTTTATAGAGGCTGATTCCCTGTAAACCTGCAGTTACAGCACAATTCCAGGTCAAGTTGCATGAACCCCAGAACAGCATCTGTAATTCCCACAAACAGTGGGCTAAGGGCTTTTCTTTTTTTTCCTTTTTTTTTTTTTTTATTCCAATGGCTCAAAACACAACAGAATTGCAGCTATTCAGAAACAACGAGTCCTAAACCCTATTTTAGCTCCAGTTTGGGGTATTGGATCATCTGTCAGTGGAATGGGGTTCCAATGGTATGAGATGCTGTGTCCCTAAATACAGTCTTAACCTGCAGAGTGCAACAGAGGAGCTGTGTGTGTATATATATATGTACATAACTTATTTCATCCAGAAGAGGAGATTTTACAATGCAATTACACACTCATAAGGCCTGCACTCAAGCACAGAGACAAAATGTGTATATACAGGAGTCTGTCTGCAAGCTTTTTTTTTACACAGAAATTGCACAGTTAATAACAGTTCCATGTCATTGTCTTGGTTACCATGGTTTATTTTGCTCAAGTTAAACCACTAAATAACAGGTTTTAATATTTTATTCCTTTACAGGTGGCCAATATTTCCTCTGAACCAAATTTAACTGGTGTAATTCCGGGCAGTTACTCTAATGTAGAAAGCAAGAATAAATTCAAGTGTGTTTCTCTCAGCCCTTTTTGAATAAATCAAGTTTTATCAAATCAGGCATTTCTTATTTATTTTTAAGCAACAACAGCTTGTTTTCATCTCTCAGCTATAACGAGGTGGGGCTAAGAATTTCTGCTGGCAAAAGCCTCAGAACCTGACAGAGCACATGTTGTGTTCCACTCTTTATTTAAATGTTCAAAAATAACTCTGGAATAATCCCATTTTTCTCCACAGTCTGATTGGAGCAATACTCCAGAAGAACCTGTCGTGCTGAGAGTGTTAGCTGGTTTTCTGGGAAAGCTTTCATGCTCTCTGTACTGCTCTCATCAATATCCAGAATTATTTCTATTGCAGAAGAAATTCTATTAATGACATTCAGAATCAGAGAATCCCAGAATGGTTTGGGTTGGAAGGGACCTTAGAGACCATCTCACCCCACCTTCCACTACACCAGGTTGCTCCAACCTGGCCTTGAACACTCCCAGGGATGGGGCACCACAACTTTTAACCAATGTGGGAAACACACATGTAGAAAACCCGTGACAAATTCTGCTTCACCAGGCTCAGAATTCAAGTTGACCAAAAAAAAAAAAAAAAACCATTTCCAACCCCCAGCACATGAGAGGAACCCAGAGGGATTCCTTCCCTTGCTGGGGCTGGTTCATGAAGTGCAGGACACCTACGGGGTCCCACGTGGATTCTCCATCCCTTCTGCCAGTCACACCCTGCCCCTGACACAACCACACCATCCCCGGGGTCTTTTAGCAAATCCCACTCTCTCCAAGTGCCTTCCCAAAGAGCCTCTCCACGCTCACAGCCCTCCCTCCTCCTGGTGGCTTCTCCTCAGGGCAGCCCAGAGGTGGGTAACACACCGAAACAGGAGGGATGAGTAAAGCAGCAGAAATTTGGGACACAGGGCAGGCTGGCCCCAGTTCAGAGAAACTCTTGATGACTTGCTTTGCTTTCAAAAGCTGAGCAGCTCCTGTAACACTTCGAGGAGCATCAGCACACTTAAAATACCCAGTGCTCTGGTAAACCTGCCTGGTAAATAAGGTCCTAACTCTCCTCCTGGCCAGGGAAACAACCCATCACTTCCACCTGGAAGCACTAAGACCTTTTACATCTGATGCCACCATGCCAATGGACTATTAATATTGTTATATTTCATTCTGTTGGCTCTAATCTCTTAGTCCGTGGATGGTTTTGGATCCATCCAGTGCAGCACTGGCACTGAGTAACCAAGGAGAAGCCACCAGCACAATGCTCCTCTGAGAGAGAATCCCATAACCAGGAGCTCACTCATCCCATTGCTCTGCCTGAACACTGGGTTTGTTAACACTTTGGGGAGCCAGCAGGACCCATCTTCTCACATTTCCTGCTCTAGCTGGGCTTCTCTATTGGCATTTTTCCTCCTGCACTTCCCTTTCCCCCAAACAAAAGCCAAGAGCTGAGGGGTTTTTTTTACACCCCACACCACGTGGCCATCACATGATGCCTGGAAAGGACTCACCTGGAGGACTCACAAGCCAGTCAAACTGCACAGCAAGGCAAAAGAATAAATCCTAAAAGCTAAATATTCCACATCAGCAGAGCATGGCCAGACCTGATCCCAGTGGATGTGCTGGGCAAGGGGCTCCGTTCTGCTGTGCCAAGGCACAGTGCCCTCCATGCTCTGCCCATGGGCCTGTTCTCCTACACCTTTAGAGAGCCAGGAGCTTTATCTACCTGATATTTGAAACATTTTAAATGCTGGCAGATAGATCAGACTGAGAAGAGGAAAGGAAGAGAGATCTGGTTTGTGTTCACAGCACATTTGTCTTTAAGAGGTTGTTTCTTCCAGAAACTACAGGTACAAGCAGAGAGGTTTGGTTTAAATCTGTTAATCCATAAAGTCTCCCAGACAGCAAATTACAGTCACATCTTTGCAAGTTTTTTTCTTCCTCTTTTCCTCATTTTTGCCCTCCTGGTAGCACCAAATTCCTCCCTGCAGGGCTGAGCCTCTGCCCAAGCAGTGCATAAAGTGAATTATCTTCATGGACACAACCTGTTCACTCCTAAGCTTGCACTCTCATGTTTAATATACTGTATTTACCTCTAATTTCCTACAGGAAACTTAAGGAGAATTTTTTCTATAAAAATCAGTGAGTGAGACTGTCCACCAGACACCTCAAATCTCAGAAAAACTGGTCTCCATTTGGCTTGTACAGAAAAGAGCCCATTTTGTCTGTTTTGTGTCTGAAGTGGAAGTCACCCACACAGCTCGAAGCTGTCTGGAGAGGCCCAGGAGTTTGCTGACAGCAGATTCTCCACCTAAAACCCTTCAGAAAATGAGCCTTTGCAGGAGTGGCTGAATTACAAAGCACTTCTTATTTAGTCCTGGAAATAGCTTCTGTCGCTGCCAACGACACGGTTATTTCTCAAAAAGAGAATGGGGATAAAAGGTGTTTATAGAGAACAAGATAAAACTGGCCTTGGGACAAAAGAGCTGCTAATTAAAAAATTTGGGGTTTTTTTTCCTATGTCTTATGGGAAAAAGGAGGAGCCCTGCAAGGAGCAGGAACACAGAATGGAGATGACCCACCCTTCCCAGCCATGTGCATTTAAGGAAAACGCTGTGGCTAGCAATCAAAATTCTGGATAAAAGAGAATTTAACACGCTGTTTATACGATTTTCTATAGATTTGTGTCTTCGTTTCTCACACTAAAGTGAAGACTTTCAGTATTTTTAACAGAGATGTCCCCCCAGAACCACTCACTGTGGGATTGGCCAACAGCAACTGCTTGTCCTGGATCAGGTGTGACTGTCCCACTCGGGACACTGCCGGGATGTGGCTTCTTGCCATCCTTAGGAAAGCAGGTGATGATCACTCCAGCACAAACTTGGGGTAGCACTGAAAAATACATATATTTATCTTACCTGGCAAGGCCTCTCTGCTGGGATAGATTTCCCACCTCCAGATGTTTAGAATGAACTTTTAGCCTGGGTGGGTTTTTTTGTAACTCCAATGTTCTGTGCTGCCAGTGGCTGCAGTGTTTGTTTTTAATGTACCCCCTCATGCCCTACAACCACATTTACCAGCAGACTTACCTTCAGGATTAGAGAACAGAAGGACTAAGAGAATCCCAAACCAGAGCTTCCCTTGGATTTGGACTCAGCTAGAGGCCTCTTATTCAGTATTTTGTGATCTAGTCCTTTGACAATGTGGATGGATTTTGGAGACCTCTCAGGATGTTTTTAGAGGAAAATCCTGCTAAATATAGAACTATGGGACAAAGAAAAAGCCAGACTGCCTGTTTCAGCCTACCCATGACAAATGGCTGGCACAGAGTCTGGTTTGACTTCTGCTGTTCCCACAGCACAAGGGGAAGCCCAGAGATTTCAGATTCCGAGGGAAAGCAGAGCCAGCACCATCACTGAGTGCAGTCCAATGGTTTTTTTAATGCTGGCAGTGTCTGAAACACAAGCCCTAAAATCACCCAGGCCAAAAGGCTGGATTTGGCATGTCAAATGGAACCAGGATTTCCACACCAAGTGCATAGTCTGGGAGAGGCCTTTAGAAAAGGCTGATTTAGAGCACTGACTTCACCCTCCCATCACCAGTGGCGTCTGACCAGAGCATCTGTAGTAAAAGGAATTTCCCAAATTTTCCTAATCTCTGTGAAGCTGTTTTCCCAGAGGAGTAGGATCTCCTGGGAAATCAGAGAAAGAAGCACTCCAAGACAAGAAAGGAAGATGACTCTTGGCACAGGGTACAGAACATCCAATGTTCAATTACTTTAAATGCCAGGGGCATATCTGCTTTTTTTATGAGCAGAAGTAGCCTCTGCCTCATTTAACAATGTAGGTTGGAGAGGGGGTGGGAAAGGGCTGTTTCACCCAAAAGCTTTTTTTTTCCCTCTGAAAAAAACCCCATGAATGAAGAATTTCAGAGGTTACTTTTGCTGCTCACAGAGTTGCTACCAAACCTCTACATTCCCCAGCAAGATTAGCAAAAACCTCTTCATTTCTATAAAACAGCAACTTAAAACTTTTAATAACCAAGGGTTTTTGTTTCCTTGCTTTTTACTTGTATAGAAAGCTATTGATTAAAGTCCATATAGAGTTGCTGGAAAGCCAACAAGCCACTGCAAGACTTATTTTCAGATCTTGCTCACAAATTAGTCTGTTATTCAGGTTATACTGTCCCAGGAAATCTTCTGG